GTGGAGAGTGGTGGGTGGTGATTGGTCAGTGCTGATTGGTCAGGATGAATGGTGAGTAGTGAGGGTGAGGTTGAGTGGTGAGGGTGAGTCGTGGTTGTGACGGTGAGTGGTGAGGGTGAGTGTTGAGGGTGAGTGGTGAGGCTGAATGGTGAGGGTGAATGGTGAGAGTGAGTGGTGAGGGTGTGATTGGTGAGGATGAGTGGTGAGTGGTCAGGGTGAGTGGTGAGGGTGATTGGTGAGCGGTGAGGGTGAGCGGTGAGTGGTGAGCGTGAGTGGTGAGGGTGAGTGGTGAGGGTGAGTGCTGAGTGGTGAGGGGGGTGGTGAGAGAGTGGTTAGTTTGAGGGTGAGTGGTGAGGGTGAGTGGTGAGGTTGAGTGGTGGGGGTTAGTGGAGAGTGGTGGGTGGTGATTGGTCAGTGGTGATTGGTCAGGATGTATGGTGAGTAGTGAGGGTGAGGTTGAGTGGTGAGAGTGAGTGGTGAGGGTGAGTCGTGATTGTGACGGTGAGTGGTGAGGGTGAGTGGTGAGGGTGAGTGGTGAGGCTGAATGGTGAGGGTGAATGGTGAGAGTGAGTGGTGAGGGAGAGTGGTGAGGGTGAGTGGTGATGGTGAGGGGTGAGTGGTGAGGGTGAGTGGTGACGAAGAGTGTGAGGTTGAGTGGTGAGTAGTAAGGGTAAGTGGTGATGGTGAGGGTTAGTGGTGAGGTTGAGTGGTAAGGGTGAGTGGTGAGGGTTAGTGGTGAGGGTGAGTGGTCAGGGTGAGTGGTGAGGGTGAGTGCTGAGGGTGAGTGGTGAGCGGTGAGGGTGAGTGGTGAGGGTGAGTGGCAGTTGTGAGTGGTGATGGGTGAGTGGTGAGCGGTGAGTGGTGAGCGCGAGTGGTGAGGGTGAGTGCTGAGTGGTGAGGGTGAGTGGTGAGAGAGTGGTTAGTTTTGAGGATGAGTGGTGAGGGTGAGTGGTGAGGTTGAGTGGTGAGGGTTAGTGGAGAGTGGTGGGTGGTGATTGGTCAGTGGTGATTGGTCAGGATGAATGAGGGTGAGGAGTGAGGGTGAGGTTGAGTGGTGAGTGGTGAGGGTGAGTCGTGGTTGTGACGGTGAGTGGTGACGGTGAGTGGTGGAGGCTGAATGGTGAGGGTGAATGGTCAGAGTGAGTGGTGAGTGGTAGGAGGAGAGTGGTGAGGGTGAGTGGTGAAGGTGAGGGGTGAGTGGTGACGAAGAGTGGTGAGGTTGGAGTGGTGAGTAGTAAGGGTGAGTGGTGATGGTGAGGGTTCGTGGTGAGGTTGATTGGTAAGGGTGAGTGGTGAGGGTTAGTGGTGAGGGTGAGTGGACAGGGTGACTGGTGAGGGTGAGTGCTGAGGGTGAGTGGTGAGCGGGGAGGGTGAGTGGTTGTTGTGAGGGTGAGTGGTGACGGTGAGTGGACAGTTGCGAGCAGTGATGGGTGAGTGGTGAGCGGTGAGGGGTGAGTGGTGTAGGGTGAGCGTGAGCTGGTGAGGGTGAGTGGTTGAGGGTGAGGTGGAGTTGTGAGTGGTGATGGCTGAGTGGTGAGCGTGAGTGGTGAGGGTGAGTGCTGAGTGGTGAGGTGAGTGGTGAGAGAGTGGTTAGTTTTGAGGGTGAGTGGTGAGGGTGAGTGGTGAGGTTGAGTGGTTGAGGGTTAGTGGAGAGTGGTGGGTGGTGATTGGTCAGTGGTGATTGGTCAGGATGAATGGTGAGTAGTGAGGGTGAGGTTGAGTGGTGAGGGTGAGTGGTTGATGGTGCGGGTGAGTGGTGAGGGGGAGTGTGACTGAAGAGTGGTGAGGTTGAGTGGTGAGTAGTAAGGGTGAGTGGTGAGGGTGAGTCGTGGTTGTGACGGTGAGTGGTGAATGGTGAGAGTGAGTGGTGAGGGAGAGGGTGAGGGTGAGTGGTTGATGGTGAGGGGTGAGTGGTGAGGGTGAGTGGTGACGAAGAGTGGTGAGGTTGAGTGGTGAGTAGTACGGGTGAGTGGTGATGGTGAGGGTTAGTGGTGAGGTTGAGTGGTCAGGGTGAGTGCTGAGGGTGAGTGGTGAGCGGCGAGGGTGAGTGGGTTGTTGTGAGGGTGAGGGCAGTTGTGAGCGGGTGATGGGTGGAGTGGTGAGCGGTGAGGGGTGAGGTGAGTGGTGAGCGGTGAGTGGTGAGGGTGAGTGGTGAGGGTGAGTGGCAGTTGTGAGTGGTGATGGGTGAGTGGCGAGCGGTGAGGGGGTGAGTGGTGAGCGTGAGTGGTGAGGGTGAGTGGTGAGGGTGACTGCTGAGTGGTGAGGGTGAGTGGTGTGAGAGTGGTTAGTTTTGAGGGTGAGGGTGAGTGGTGAGGTTGAGTGGTGAGGGTTAGTGGAGAGTGTGGGTGGTGATTGGTCAGGATGAATGGTGAGTAGTGAGGGTGAGGTTGAGTGGTGAGGGTAAGTGGTGAGGGTGAGTGGTGAGCTGAATGGTGAGGGTGAATGGTGAGAGTGAGTGGTGAGGGAGAGTGGTGAGGGTGAGTGGTGATGGTGAGGGGTGAGGGGGTGAGTGGTGAGGCTGAGTGGTGACAAAGAGTGGTGAGGTTGAGTGGTGAGTAGTAAGGGTGAGTGGTGATGGTGAGGGTTAGTGGTGAGGTTGAGTGGTAAGTTGGTGAGTGGTGAGGGTTAGTGGTGAGGGTGAGTGGTCAGGGTGAGTGGTGAGGGTGAGTGCTGAAGGTGAGTGGTGAGCAGTGAGGTGAGTGGTTGTTGTGAGGGTGAGTGGTGAGGGTGAGTGGTGAGGGTGGAGTGGCAGTTGTGAGTGGTGATGGGTGAGTGGTGAGCGGTGAGTGGTGAGCGTGAGTGGTGAGGGTGAGTGGTGAGGGTGAGTGGCAGTTGTGAGTGGTGATGGGTGAGTGGTGAGCGGTGAGGGGTGAGTGGTGAGCGTGAGTGGTGGGTGAGTGGTGAGAGTGAGTGGTGAGGGTGAGTGCTGAGTGGTGAGGGTGAGTGGTGAGAGAGTGGTTAGTTTTGAGGGCGAGTGGTGAGGGTGAGTGGTGAGGTTGAGTGGTGAGGGTTAGTGGAGAGTGGTGGGTGGTGATTGGTCAGTGGTGACTGGTCAGGATGAATGGTGAGTAGTGAGGGTGAGGTTGAGTGGTGAGGGTGAGTGGTGAGGGTGAGTCGTGGTTGTGACGGTGAGTGGTGAGGGTGAGTGGCGAGGGTGAATGGTGAGAGTGAGTGGTGAGGGAGAGTGGTGAGGGTGAGTGCTGATGGTGAGGGGTGAGTGGTGAGCGTGAGTGGTGAGGGTGAGTGGCGAGTGTGACGGTGAGTGGTGAGGGTGAGTGATGAGGCTGAATGGTCAGGGTTGAATGGTGATAGTGAGTGGTGAGTGGTGAGGGATAGTGGTGAGGGTGTTTGGTGATTGGTGAGTAGTTACGGTAGTGTGAGGGGTGAGTGGTGAGTGGTGATTGGTGATGGGTGAGTAGTTTACGGTGAGGTTGTGACGGTGAGTGGTGAGGGTGATTGGTGATTGGTGAGTAGTGACGGTGAGTGGTGAGGGTGAGTGGTGAGGGAGATTGGTGAGGGAGATTGGTGAGTTGTGAGGGTGAATGGTGAGGGTGAGTTGTGAGTGGTGAAAGGTATTGTCAAAGCCCACCGGGCTTTGACAATACCTTAGTATCTGTGTGTATATGTAAGGTTATTAAGAAATATATTTTTCACCCGGGCAACGCCGGGTACTTCTGCTAGTAAATGCACATAATACATAAAGTGTGCGCCTGACCTTTGGCGACGGCGCGTGCGGATTGCTGCTGGGGGGTCACCTCGTGCGCGTTGTGCGCAAGTGCAGCTGGCTGCGTTTGTCAGCCCGCGCGCGGCGAAGGGAAATAATAAACAATCGCGAAACTTTATCTTTAAATAAAGAAAAATCGGCAAAAGACGCTAACTGAACTAATTTTAAGGTGACGGGCGTGAAAAGGGAATCGCCTATGCCAAGCACGGGGCTTCCGGCGTGGTACCTGGCTAATTTTTGTTTACGCGAACCCCACCGTTTGAGAGCCAAATCCCTCGCAAGCGCTGTGAACACTCACAGACAGGCAGAGACACAAAATTACATTTATATAGGTAAAAAACAGATTGTACGTGTCTGCTACTTACAGGATAGGTGGATGAGGTGAGGAGTGAAGATAACGAGCAGAGGGGTGAGGACGAGGTGAGGTCAGTAAGGGAGGTGCCCGTCTCAGGAGTGTTTGCATATTTGTTGCTTATTCTCGATGTTTGATTTGTGACGAAACATTGAACAAAGTACTTAATACATTCGGAAGTTTAGTAAATTATTCGTGTCTGCTACATCTACCTACACGCGTGCGCGTGTTTATTCCCGGAGGGATCTCATGAGCTTGACGTCCTCTTTCACACACGCCCAGAAGGGACGGGTCAGCCGGTTGCATCAACAACAAATGTAACAAAGGATACTTGAATTTCGATTTAAAGCTTTCGTGACTGCAGGGATTCATCTTCTGGTTCTTTCGGTAAAGTCACGTAGAAGGGAGATAATAAAATAATACAATTCTCACTGTGAGAATTGTATTATTTTATTATGTTTTATTTATCACACATTCTCACTGTGAGAATTGTATTATTTTATTATGTTTTATTATTTTATTATCTCCCTTCCACGTGACTTTACCGAAAGAACCAAGAAGATGAAAGGATACTTGAGTAAGGATTTGCGAAAATGTCATCAAGTCACAAATAAATATGTAGTGCAAAAACAAACTGTGCAGCACAAACCTTCCTGTAGATTTGTCAACATCATATCCAAGCTTGGGCAAGACGGCAAAACACCGACAGTCAAAGGAGCACACCAAGACCAGAGACAGTCGCCTCGTGAGTGAATTTCACTGCGACATTGACCTCTCGACACGTGGCGAGGAGGCTCCAAGTCTCAAGTCGCAGGGAGCTTCCTCTGCCCCCATTGGGTGTCTGAGGGGGCGGGGTTCACGGGCTCTGGCTCCGCCCACAGTAGGCGGGCCAATGACGTCACCTCCGGCTTTGACGTCACTCCGACAGGGCGAGCGAGCTGAGCGGCTGCTTCTATCTCTTGCGCCCCCAACAGGAACTATGAGGTTCTTCAAGAGAGCGCAGCAGTTGCAAGCGACGCTGGAGACTCCGAATTCGTCAACAGTGGAGGTGAGTGGCGCCACCTCTTGCCTTTCAGCGGTATCGATCGGAGTTATACGAAATAATACCGTGATCATATCGAGAGAAAAAAATATCGATTTTTTTTCCGTTATTTAAGTTTAACTTTAAAATTGAACGCTTGATATGTAGGTAGGGAGGTTCATAGTTGAATATCACAGATTGAGAGTTTCATCAAGGATTTTAGTCGGAAGGAGCTTTCTCTGGGCAAGGTGGTCCTTGTTTGCGTTGCCATGGTGACAGCATCTCGGACCAACTGCCGTTGTCCAGCAGCTGTGCCTGGGGGGTCACGTGGCATTTGGTGACGCGATAAGGACGAGCCGTAGGCTCCGCCCATATAGGGTTGGCTCCGCCCACATAGGGTGGAGCCAATGACGTCACCACTGTATGTCTGTTACGTCATTCATATCGGGTTTTGGGTGAGATCGCGTTATTATAAATGCGTCGCAACCCTCCACCACCCGACACGGCCAATCAGTAAAAAATGTGTCACGTTAACAAAACGCCAATTAGTTACTTCTTCAGCCCACGGGTGTGTTTGAAGTGAATCCACAACATTTAGAATTTGAGTACGACGTTTCGCTGGTAATTACATTACTAATCTTGACTTAGGGGCCGTCCATAAATGACGTCACGCAAATTTGGGCGATTTTTAACCCCCCCCCCCCCTCGTCCACACGGCGTCACCAAAAGTCAGACCCCTCAAATATGACGTCACAGCTCTGCCCCCCCCCCCCCAAACCATATTTCCATTTTGAAAATAAAACATGCTTCAAATCACTTTAAACTATTGTCATTGTAGTGCGCATTTAATGTGGCGCTACACTCTGATGTTGTAGGAGAAATACGTATTAAAATGGAGGGGTTGGAAAGCTGAAATTTAGCATAAAATTCACTTTAAAATATTTAACGTCCAACTAAAAACTGCAGATGTTCAGAATATTATATTGAAATTCTCTTATGATTATAAAATTTAAAAGTAATTAAAACAAAAATACTTTAAACTGTGCAGTAGAACGAAGCAAAATGGAGAGTACAATTATAACAATCACGTATTCATTTCACAGAATGTTTTGATGGTAGAGTTGTACTTGGCAAGAGAGGGGAGACAAAGCTAGGCTGGAGTGGAGGCCACCGCTGGAAACCTGTATGGAATTAATACAGGCAGTCCTCACTTAGCGCTCAAGATGCGTAGGTGGAGAAGTGAGCATTCATCATAATAAAGGCATTCATCGAATCAGCGCTTGAAGGGTTATTATACCATTGTACATATGGGGATGCCTTCCCGACAGTGTTGTCTCTTATGAACAATAAATGAGGGCTTCATTGGGGGTGTCAGTATCAGGGCAATTTAATTACAGTAATAAAACATGGTAAACATTGTATCAAAACAAATACATATTTATTATCAATAAGTATTATGTAATGTACTCGCCTGATGCTCACCCACCTCGACCGGCCTTATCACTTGCATGTTACCATTCTAAGTGATACTTTTCCTTGACCTGTTGGTCTCATTTCCAGCACTAACACATTTGCAGGCCTCTTTCCAGACATTTTGGGGCTAAGATGCTCACTAAAAATATGAAAACAAGGCAAAGAGAGACCAAGGAATAGCAAACACGTCGGCGGACCAGGGTGTCTTTTAAAAACTGGCGAGCGCTGCGGTGGCTCAGAGCGTAATGTGATAAAACTGAATAAAAAATATTGTAACAACACTGACAAAATTATCAAAACTTTTTTTTTATGTACCTGTGACCATACATCGTCATAATTGAATCGCGGGGGTTGGTTGCTGGTTGCCCCAGAGCGTTCGTCACTCTCATTGGCTGAGCGAATGTAAACAGAGATGGCGGTGGGTGAGTTTCTGAGACCAACGCTGCTGCGTGTTCTACCACGGTGTTTAGGCTGTGAGGAATCGTGTTGTCTTGCGTGGGTGTGTGGGTGTCAGCGTATCTGTCCGATGTGTGTCTACCTGCGTATGAGGCACTTCACTTGCCATGTGCCATGGTGTTGTCTCCACCATCCGTGTCAAATGCGTCCGTCACGATGCGAATTAAGGCAGGATTTACACTGGGAGAGCTAACGTGCCCATGCCATGTGCCCTTGCTCCCGTCGCAGTTGCCAATGCCGGAGAACGAAATGCACCAGCTGTCTCAGGAGGTGTCGAACCTGCGGGCCAACCTGGGCAGGGCACGAGCGCACTTTAACACCCTGCGTGGCGCCCTGAGCCAGAAGGATAAGAGCCTCCACGAGATGCTGCACCAACTAGAGATCCAGCGTTCTGAGGAGGTATCCTGGCTGCCGCCAAACCCCCCTCCCCGTCCCCTTGTTGCACGGAGCGCGGCTAAAATTAAACGTGTTCTCGTTGTGAAGCTCCGTGGCGCACAAGCATGGATAACAAAACCTCAACATATTCGTCAATAAGACTGCAATGGATATTGCTGTAAAGAAGGACCATTGCCTGAAACGTCGCCGTTTAGATGTTCTGCCCTATTGAGTACATCGTTTTGATGAATGTGTTGAGTTTTTATTCAGAGTGCGATCTGAATGTCAAGGAAATGGACCATTAAATAAGTGCATTCTGGGAGGTGGCTGTGCCAGCACTGCTGAGATGCCAGGATCAAATCCAGATTACAGCCGCCCAACCAGTGATTTAACCGGGTTCCCAAGCGTAATGAGTTTGGTGGTCTCAGCCTGGTCGCCAATGAGTGCACAAAAAAACCCAACGAATAATATTTTGGTTCTGTACTTAATTTGGCTAAATTTGACTCCTAATACTGTTGAAAATGAAAAAGAAAAAAAAGCAGATCAAACACAATTTTTGTATCATAGCATCTCCCCACAGAATGAGCATGAAGTATGTTTTACTGATTAATACACCTGTATGGGGCTGACCAGCATGGGGAAGTATAGTAAAACACATCCCCATGACCGACATGGCATTGTGAGTTGTCCTGAATATTGACTCCATTTGAAGACGATAATTTGGGTGCTTGGAATTTCTTCATAATCTTACGGTGAATAGTGTATCCATGTTATATGCATGCTTACAAATGGTTGATATATCATGGTTATATTTTTGGAATTTCTTTTATTATTTGAAATATTTTATATTCTCTTTAAACGTGATTGTGGTATGTTGATGACGACCATGGGTGTGTGCCACCTTTATGGGCACATGTGCGTCTCTGTAGACGATCCCCGTGTCTCTGCATGCTTACGTTGTCTCCCTGTACATGTTGTGCCTGTGGCTATGTACATGTCTCTCCATATGCACTGTGACTTTCCGTCATGTGTCCAAATTTCTACATGTGACTTGCTTGTGTCTTTGTGTGTATATGTCTCTGCATGTTTGTCATTTCTCTATTTCTTTTCGTGTGCCTCCTGCCCATGTCTCTGTCTCTATTTCTCTGTACAACTACATACTGCGTGTGTCAGTATGTCTCTACCTGTCCTCATCTGCACGCTGCACGTGTCTGTGATGAGGGGCTGCCCACCTATGCATACACGTGCCTGTGCCACTGTGCCCATCTGTCCGTGAGCAGCTACGGGTGCACTCGCAGGCCATCGACAGCCTGCAGGCGGAGTTGGAGGCAGCGCGGCGGGGTGAGCGGGAGGCCGAGGAGCGTTCCGTGCACGACGCCAACGCCGCGTCATCGGAGCTGGCAGAGTTCACGATTAGGACTGAGCGGTTTCAGGAGCAGCTGAGACAGGACCACGAGGAGACTCTGAATCTGGCACGCATGGAGCTGGCCGAATATCGTGCATCGCACACGCACGCCGACTCAGAGTACGACTCTCACGTCGTGCACATCGCGGTCCTGCAGAAGGTGAGGCCTCCACTCTCGCAGCAGCCCCCCCCCTACCCACACTCTAGCTCCCTTGTCATTCGGGGCCATTGATTGGTGTCCTGGAAAATACTTCATAAGCCACATAATCCTTGGAGCTCTTTTCATAATTGGCCAAGGTTCATCCATTGCTGGATGTAAGCCTCCCTTAAGCCACCACCACAACCTCTCACGATCTTGCAATTGTAGTGGTGTTAACTACTCGCTGTTCGCAAACTGTGAGAGAGCGGATCGTAAACAAGGTTATCCCGCTCAATCAAACGGTCAGGGTCAAAGGGGGTGAGGTAGGATCCAAACGCCAGATTGGGAAGGACCAATCGAAGGGTCCTACAAGGTGGCCGGGGATTGGACAACCAGGCCACGAACAGGTAGAAAAGCCAGAGCGCTGAGAGCTCTTGGCCGAAGACATCTAGGACCCTGGACCAAGCCCTCCAGCCCTTATCAGGGCTAGGGCTCAGTGTAACCAGTGGTTGGTGAGAGATCCCCTAGGTCCAGCCAGAGGACGCTAGGATAGCAGGGAGATTAGATAGCCTGCAAGGTCCGGAGGCTGTGTCTACTCAGGGTAATGGGTGAGGGGACCATATACCCCCTTTGTGTGATAGGGACTGTGTATTAAGATAATAAACAGTGTGTGCCATAAAGAAGTTTACAAGTCCGTCCTTTACAACACTACACAATGATAACAATCCACCTAGTACCTGTAATTTAGATACTGCCCATTCTCCTCCCGCAGGAGCTGAAGGAGCGTGACGAGCTGCTGCAGCGCTCTGAGGCCGACCTGGTGGTGGCACAGGAAGTGGCACAAGAGCGTGGCACTGAAGCCGAGCGGCTGGGCGCCGAGGCCGCGGAGCTGAGTGCGACCGTGCGTGACCTCTATGCCAACCAAGAGGCGCAGCAAACTGAGGTGGACACCCTGCGGCAATGAAGCGCTGGAGTTGCAGCAACGGCTGCAGGAGACCAACACTTGCTTCGAGGAGACTGGTGGGTAGGGGCCTGTGCTCCCCAATCTTTCTAAATCCACGGACCCATTGAACACTCATTTCGTAGACCACTATGCAACAATAACTTCTTTTTACGAGTTTAAACGAGTCTAAGTACTAGAAACATTTCACACGTGGACCACTCACCCGTTAACATGGTAGGACTGACCACTGGGTTTACTAAATTGCTCTCTAGCTAAGTCCTTCCTGTGCTTGTATTATTATTTTGGAACCCCGTTTGAATGCAAGCTGGTGAATAGGGTCTGAGGGACCTAATCCCTCTTAGCACTGACTAGGTTTTCTGATACTACTCCCGCTGCTGTTACTCTTCCTCCTGATGCTTGCTGCTCTTTCTCCACCTGCTGCCGCTGGGTGGCTATACTGTCTTCCATCGCCGTGGTTTTGTGTCCCTTTCGACAGCCAATTCTTCTGGAGCAACAGCATGAGCGTGCGGAGCTGTCTCAGCGAAACTGGTGGCGATGCAGCGCGGCTAGGCGAGCACAAGGTGGAGCTGCGAGCGGATGCTGCAGAATGAGAAGTGCCGTGCCCAGGAAGAGCTCGACAACCCCAGTGCGTACGCGCAGGCACCAGTGGCGGCGACGGTGAGATGAGGGGCATGGGGGGGCGTGATTAGGAGGTGCTCTGCGGGTGTGACCTGGAATGGCAGTCCGATAGAAGGACACATACGTGCAACGTCCAAGGTGTTCAGATCACACGCTGCTGCGAGCGTGTGCGAGCGTGCGCTTCCGAAAAGCAGAACACAGGGTGACTGAGGTTGAGCGATGGACCATACGGGAAAGTAGAAAATCAGGAACAATTGTAATACAATTCACGTTTGAAAAAAGTTCCCAGGCTGCTCTGATTGTAGCGCCAGGTCACACCATGGCCATGCAACTTTGCTTTTACTGAGATTTGGTGATCTGCACATATGCACCGCGGCCTTCAGCTTACCGCTTCTGAAATTCCCATTCTCTTCCTCTTCACCTCCCCTTGCCCCGCTCTTTCCTCTACTTCCTCTACCCATTCGTGATCCCGAAGTACCCGATGTCGCGGTCCTCTCAATTCATTTAACCGTGTCATGCCCCCTGCCATCTAAATTATTAAATTCTGTCACTTTTTTTTACTATGTCAAACGCTTTGAGTGAATTCACTTTATAAATATACAATTAGATCAGATATATAGGACAGTGCCAGTGTGAGATCTTCCACGGTTCGGTGTTGGATTCTCAGTGCGAGTGAGTGAGCGAGTTAGCGAGCGTGGGAGTTGCCCGTGCTTGACGCCGTGCTGCCTCCTTGTGGTGTTGTACAGGGGCAAGATGGAGTTCATCAAGGCCGAGCTGGGAGTCTCCAGGGCAGAGGAGGCGGGACGGCACAGGAAGTGGTGCGGCTGCAGTACACAGTTCATCACGCGGATGCTGAGATGAATTTCATGCGTGGCCAGATCGACGGGCTGCAGCACCAGGTAACCAGAGCTTAAGCTGCAGCCCCACACCTCTATTTGTGTGCACGTGGGGTCTGTCCCCATCCGCTGAGCAGTGCACCATCGCAGGTTAGAGAATGGTCCGCAGAAGCATATATCACAGTACTACTTCTGAGAAATCTTTAAGTGCCCTCTGGAACACACAATGGAAGGAAGTACTTTGAGACCTGCCCTGCTATGGAGAGTAATGAGTAATTTTCACCACAAAACAGTCAGATCTTTGGTTTTCAGTGTTGGAATTTAGCTCGATTTAATGCAAAGCCAACATTGTGTTTCCTGGGCTTTTCTGCGCAGTCATTGATGACCAGGCTGAGATGATTAACTTAATGCACATGTGTACCTGGCTTAATCACAGGTGGCTGAAACCTGAAGGGGTTATAAAGTAACATAGATGCAGCCAGGAAGGCAATCAGCCATTATTATTTTTTCTAATGTAGTATGATAATGCATTTCTATATGGCTAAATGTATAATTGTGACCACAGGATCGGTTCCCCCATCATGCCTTTTAATTTTGCCTGCAGATAGGTGAATGTTGGATGAGGTAATTACAATTGACTAAACAAGACAAGCCCTGACTAGGCCTGTAACTAGTTTACCCCCTCTCGCACGGGCACGCGTGACGAAGCCGTGATTGGCACTGAAGAGGGGCGCCATGGTGGCGAGATGTTAGATGTTAACTACCTCGCCTGACACCTGTATATTGGAGTTTGCATGTTCTCCCCGTGGTCGTGTGGATTTTTCTTTGGGTCCTCCGGTTTTTCCCTCCACATTCAGAAACGTGTTTAGATTATTTGGCTGCAAAAGATTCCACATGATAAGCCACTTCTTTGAAACTTTCATTTGTGACAGGTCGCTTCTGAAATAGAGTTATATACCTCTGTGGTAAATAAGGATAATGACAGTTTAGTTTGAAGACATCTGTGGTAGCGTTCACAAGAGGGCGAGGCCCTTGTGCGGTGTCGTGCTTAAATCGCCAAATATAAAATGTGCCAATGACAATTTGTCCGGGATACATTTGTCTCCCCCGCCCCCCCCCCCGCGATTATTAAATCGGTGCCTTGTTCAAAAAACAATGTGATCATGGAACATGAAAGGAGTAACCGAGACCAGAATGGTCATTGTGCGTGGAAAATAATAGTACACAATGCAGCAATTAAGTTTTTATCGTGAACAAAGTAATGCACAAACAATGCAATACAGGGAGTTAGTACCTAAAAAAGACCACACGATGTAACAGATTACAACAGGGAGAACATACGGCATTTGAAACCAATGGAAGTTATATACAAACAGGTAGAAAGAAAACTAAATATTTGTGATTATATACAAAAAAGTAATTTAGTGTGATTCGTCTTCTGCACTCTGAACCAAGCCATGGAGTTTGATTTCCAGCCATGGGTAGCATCGATGGCCAGTGATATCTGAACCAGTTTTGGGTGTACCACCTCTTGCTGACCAGTGTGATGAAGTATGATCAATCAATTCCTATGACTGGTATGGCTCAGGGAAACCTTCATCCAGCAGTATCACAAAAAGTACAATCATTCAGAGGTGGACGGATCATGGCTACTCATGATGACGATGCCTAATGATGATGATGGTAAAATGATCGTTGTCTGTAATAAGGCTCAGAAAGACGAGTGTAGTATTCATGCAGCTGAGGGAGGAGCTCAAGGCGTTCTCCACACATTCACTTTCATACACACACACGTGCGCCCGCGCACACACACACACAAAGCCTCACTCCCAGCACGAGCCTGAGTCATTACATTTCGCGGGGGATCGCTCCACTGAACAAAATAGCTCCGCGGTTAAATTTTCAAGTGTGAGCTCGCGTTTAAAGTCAGTGTTAAAAAAGATATATATATTTCATGGAAGCAGGTTCTTAAATGTGGATGTTCGTAAGTCCGGTGTTCGTAAGCTGAGGACTGCCTACATCCACTTATTTTTCACACTGATGTATAGATGCGCGCTAGGTTACTGAACATCCTCTGTTTAGGGACTGTACCACATTACGATCCATCATCCCACCTCTAGTAGAAGTACCTACTACTACTAGACCATCTCCCTGTGGCTACGCGCATCTCGATCCCATCCCTTAATTTTACCTTTTAATGCACCTATTGGGTTAATTGATTCATATATATGGGCTTTTATAGGTGTTATTTTGGGTTGTATGGATGGTGGTCGCCCATCGAAGCACTATCAAAGTTCAACCGTGCTTTTCTTCTAAGATATAATATTGGGTGTATTCTGGGTCATTTGGTCATGTATCGACATATGTGAAAGATTTTCATAGCTGTTCAGATTCCTATATTTAAAATAAAGATACTGGTTCTGTATGTCTTTGTTATATCTGAATGTTCTATCGTAACTGCACGCAGTCATTAAAACGCTTTGCCATATTCCTCTGCTGCTTTATGCCCGTGGCCCACACAGCTCATTGAGAACAACAAGCAGCTGGGATCCCTGCAGGCGGAGATTCTGGGCTACCAGCGCGTGGTGGCAGAGCTGCATGCTGCGCTGGGACCATCCCACGAAAACCTGCAGAGCTTGCACGCACAGCTGCAGGATCTGCAAGTGCTGTACCAGCAGAGCGAGGCGAAGGTGAGCGCACAGCATTCGGCGTCACAAAGATTCCCCGTATAGCCTTAATAGACTGTTGGGACAAGTGCTGTTAGCGAGCACCATGAAGGCCGGCATGGCATGCGAGGGGTTGTGTGACCAGCACCACACCCATTTGCCTGTGTATCCCAAGTGGTGATGTTTACACACCGCGCTAGATGCTCATTTGAGGCTGAATCGACCTAGGGGAGGCCCCAGGAACGATTCAGAAAATTGTCACTGGTGTTGGCCATGAGTGAGAATTGAACTGGGTTCGTAGTGCAGCGCGCAAACTGCTACAGTGCCGCTCCCCACACACTCACATTCACATACACACACATGTGCGTGTGCACACCTACATTCACTCCCAGCACGAGGCTGACTCATGGCATCTCGTGGAGGATCGCTGCACTGAACAAAATAGTTCCACAGTTCAGTTTGCAAGTGCGAGTTTGCGTTTTAAGTCAATGGTAACCGAAAATTTCATGGAAACAGGTTCGTTGGTCGGGTATTCCGAAGTCAGGTGTTCATAAGTTGATGACTGCCTGTATCCACTTCTTTTTCATACTAATGGTTGTACAGTATGGATGCGTACTGGGTTACGGAGCATCCTCTATTTAGGGACTGTACCACGTTACGATCCACCATCCCACCTCTAATAGAAGTACCTACTACTACTAGACCATCTGCTCCCCTCTGCTACGTGCATCTCACTCCCCGTGTTTGGTTGGAAAGCGATCTTAATCTGATATTTTAATGCAGCTTTTGGGTTAATTCATATATGTGGGTTGTATGGATGGTGGTCGTCCATCCAAGCACTATGGAAGTTCAGCCATGCTTTTCTTCCAAGATCTGAGATGATTGGGTGCATTCTGGTCATTTGGTCATAGGTGGTGTATGGACATCTGTGTAAAAGAGCTTAATAGCTCATTACATTGCTCAATTATAAATAAAGATTGCGATTCTATGTGTCTGTTGTTGCATCTGTATGTTATACAATAACCGCACGCAATCGTTAAAATGCTTTTCTGTGTTTCTTTGCCGCCGTTTTCCCGTGGTCCACAGCTCATTGACAGGAATTGGCAGCTGGAATCTCTGCAGGCAGAGATTCAGTGGTACGAACGTGTGGTGGTGGAGCTGCACGCCGAGTTGGCGCCCTACCACGACAACAGGCAGAGCGCACACTCAGAGCAGCAGCATCTGCAGAGCGAGGTGGAGGTGAGCGCACAGCACTCGTGCGTCGCACACACACAAGTACATAATTTGCGTTTAACGTAAATAATATATTCATACACACACGATTCAGTGTATGATGATAATGATGAGCTGGTCTAACCATCTCGTTAAGCCGTCATGGTCCTCATTTACAAATACAGATTATCTATCTATAGACAATTCCATTATTGCTGTAAACAATGATAACGATAAGAATGATTTAGCACCTTTCTGTTCACCGGGGCATCTCAGAGTGCTTTACATCACATCTCATCTCAACACGTTTGAAAGGGCACCCTCAATGACAGATGTCCCTGCGGGCACAAGGTGACTCAGCACCTGCGTGAAATCGACATTTGTCTGCCAGTAGGAGGTGCTGATTGTTGTGTGTATTCACAGTTGAGCTGGTATATGTACTTAGTTGTGTGTAGTGTCTAATGGGTCGGTTTGTCCACAGCTTCCTACGGTTGAGGAAGAGGACATCTCTGGCTGCTCACTGGAGCCCAGCGTTCAAGAAGCCTCCTAAGACCTGCCCCCCAAGGCCTCCAACACCCTCTGCGCCTCTCACATTGACTAACACACGCACATATCGACTGACACACACACACATCGACTCACACACACACACACATGGACTTACACACACAATTACATACGGACTTATACACACATATCGACTAAGACACACACACACGTGGACTTACACACACACATGGACCCATGCACACACATCGACTTACACACACACATCGACTCACACACACTGCCCTACACACACACATACACATATGGACTCACACACACAGACATCGACTTAAAATACACACATGGAGTTACACACAAAGACAAAGATCCCCCGTATAGCAACAGACTGTAGGGGCAAGTGCTGTTAGCGAGCACCTATAAAGGCCGGAATAGCACACGAGGGGGTGGGTGGCCAGCACCACGCCCGGCCGGCTTTGTCTCCCCAGTGGCGATGTTTATGCACTGCACCAGGTACTCATTTCAGGCTGAATCGACCTAGGGGAGGCCCAGTAACGATTCAGAAAATTGTCACTGGTGTTGGCCATGAGTGAGAATTGAACTGGGTTCGTAGTGCAGCGCGCAAACTGTTACAGTGCCGCTCCCCACACACTCACATTCACATACACACACATGTGCGTGTGCACACCTACATTCACTCCCAGCACGAGGCTGACTCATGGCATCTCGTGGAGGATCGCTGCACTGAACAAAATAGTTCCACAGTTCAGTTTGCAAGTGCGAGTTTGCGTTTTAAGTCAATGGTAACCGAAAATTTCATGGAAACAGGTTCGTCGGTCGGGTATTCCGAAGTCAGGTGTTCATAAGTTGATGACTGCCTGTATCCACTTCTTTTCATACTAATGGTTGTACAGTATGGATGCGTACTGGGTTACGGAGCATCCTCTATTTAGGGACTGTACCACGTTACGATCCACCATCCCACCTCTAATAGAAGTACCTACTACTACTAGACCATCTGCTCCCCTCTGCTACGTGCATCTCACTCCCCGTGTTTGGTTGGAAAGCGATCTTAATCTGATATTTTAATGCAGCTTTTGGGTTAATTCATATATGTGGGTTGTATGGATGGTGGTCGTCCATCCAAGCACTATGGAAGTTCAGCCATGCTTTTCTTCCAAGATCTGAGATGATTGGGTGCATTCTGGTCATTTGGTCATAGGTGGTGTATGGACATCTGTGTAAAAGAGCTTAATAGCTCATTACATTGCTCAATTATAAATAAAGATTGCGATTCTATGTGTCTGTTGTTGCATCTGTATGTTATACAATAACCGCACGCAATCGTTAAAATGCTTTTCTGTGTTTCTTTGCCGCCGTTTTCCCGTGGCCCACAGCTCATTGACAGGAATTGGCAGCTGGAATCTCTGCAGGCAGAGATTCAGTGGTACGAACGTGTGGTGGTGGAGCTGCACGCCGAGTTGGCGCCCTACCGCGACAACAGGCAGAGCGCACACTCAGAGCAGCAGCATCTGCAGAGCGAGGTGGAGGTGAGCGCACAGCACTCGTGCGTCGCACACACACAAGTACATAATTTGCGTTTAACGTAAATAAAATATTCATACACACACGATTCAGTGTATGATGATAATGATGAGCTGGTCTAACCATCTCGTTAAGCCGTCATGGTCCTCATTTACAAATACAGATTATCTATCTATAGACAATTCCATTATTGCTGTAAACAATGATAACGATAAGAATGATTTAGCACCTTTCTGTTCACCGGGGCATCTCAGAGTGCTTTACATCACATCTCATCTCAACACGTTTGAAAGGGCACCCTCAATGACAGATGTCCCTGTGGGCACAAGGTGACTCAGCACCTGGCGTGAAATCGACATTTGTCTGCCAGTAGGAGGTGCTGATTGTTGTGTGTATTCACAGTTGAGCTGGTATATGTACTTAGTTGTGTGTAGTGTCTAATGGGTCGGTTTGTCCACAGCTTCCTACGGTTGATGAAGAGGACATCTCTGGCTGCTCACTGGAGCCCAGCGTTCAAGAAGCCTCCTAAGACCTGCCCCCCAAGGCCTCCAACACCCTCTGCGTCTCTCACATTGACTAACACACGCACATATCGACTGACACACACACACACACATCGACTCACACACACACACACATGGACTTACACACACAATTACATACGGACTTATACACACATATCGACTAAGACACACACACACGTGGACTTACACACACACATGGACCCATGCACACACATCGACTTACACACACACATCGACTCACACACACTGCCCTACACACACACATACACATATGGACTCAAACACACAGACATCGACTTAAAATACACACACATGGAGTTACACACAAAGACAAAGATCCCCCGTATAGCAACAGACTGTAGGGGCAAGTGCTGTTAGCAAGCACCTATAAAGGCCGGAATAGCACACGAGGGGGTGGGTGGCCAGCACCACGCCCGGCCGGCTTTGTCTCCCCAGTGGCGATGTTTATGCACTGCACCAGGTACTCATTTCAGGCTGAGTCGACCTAGGGGAGGCCCAGGACTGGTTCAGATAATCGTCACTGGTGTTGGCCATGAGCGGGAATTGAACCCGGGTCGCTAGGTTCATAGCGCAGCGCGCTGCTACACTACCGCTCCCCACACAAATAGACAAATATCCCCCGTGTAGCCTTAACAGACTGTAGGGGCAAGTGCTGTTAGCGAGCACCTATGAAGGCAGGCACGGCACACGAGGGGGTGGGGTGGCTAACACCACGCCCGGCCGCCTTTGTCTCCCTAGTGGTGATGTTTACACACCGCACCAGGTACTCATTTTAGGCTGAGTCGACCTAGGGGAGGCCCAGGACCGGTTCTGACAACCGTCACCGGTGTTGGCCGTGAGCGGGAATCGAACTCGAGTCGCCGGGTTCACAGCGCAGCGCGCTACCCGCTACACTACCGCTCCCCACACACACACACACACAAACGTACACACACACATCGACTCACACACATATGGACTCATCACACACACATACACATCGACGTACACACATATCAACTGACACATATGTAATATAGCTCGCAGAGACGGCGTCGTCTCTTCTATTTGTTTATTATCAAATAAATATCAACCAATAACTCAACGTGCAACTACGAGTGACTATATACACACGGGTGTTTCACACGACACGATTCTGGGATAACATAACTTCCTCTTGTAAGACAACTCGCGGACGATGAAGACGGCCCGGACCCAGAGCACGACGACGCAGTGCCCCACACCAAGCACAACCCTGAACCTTCACTCACACTGCTATTTATCCTCGCCGGGCCCGACCACACCCTATGCCTTAATACAATTTGTTCCCGTCTAAGGAATGCTTATTAACTCGTCCTTCCCTACCATTGGCTCCCGTCGCGTGAATGCTCATGAACTCATTAGCAACCATGGTCCCGGTAATCCTTCCATTAGTGACCATGGTCCCGGGGAGCCACACCATCCGCCATCGCCCCACACTGTCATTACAACACCCCCCCTTTGCAACGTCAGTAACGTCTTCCGAACGCCGAGATGTAATAATTTGGTTTCGTGTACCACTCGAGTCAACGCACCCCGTAAAACCGTAAGAACCACCAGGCCGTAGCGTTGAAACCCTCATCCCATCTCATAAGCAACCCGTCCCTCAGCACAATCTTTGAGGACTTCGCCAAGCTAGGGTTCGTTAGTTCCCGCTCCGCACGCCCCCAGAGTCGCAACAAGGACGCGTGATCCATTTGCAACCGACCCCATTCGGCAAGCGTGAGGCCCAGTATTCCAGCTACCGGTGCAACGTTACCAATGGGTGCTGCGCTCTCCACTGACGCCACTACCCCAGATGGCTTCGCGCCCCGTGGCTTACATCGTCCTGCGCCCGTTAAACAAGCACAGCCCTCCCCCGTCGGCATTCCTTTTGGTTAAATCACCCGAAATGAAAATTCCTGTAATATCTCCAAGCAACGTGACAGTTGGCCCGAAGGTTGAACCACACGCAAGGAGTATTGAAGGGCCGCGTGGTCCGTGTGGACCACGAATTCCCTACCGTACAGGTAAGGCCTGTACTGTTGCACAAAGTGCACCATGGCCAAGAGTTCCCTCCTGGTCACGCTGTAACATCGTTCCGCGGATGACAGGATGCGGCTCCTGTACGCTACCACCCTTCCAACGCCGTTCTTAACTTGGGACAGGGCAGCCCCAAGACCCGTGTCACTGGCATCTGTATCTAAGGTAAACGATAGGGGAAAATCCGGCTACTCCAGGGGAGGCGCATCGGCATGGCTTTTGCGCAGTGTAACAAAAGCGGCATTCTCCTCCTCTCCCCACCTAAACTTTTGGCCTTTAGCCATTAAAGCATGAAGAGGCGTAGTGATCATCGCGAACTGCGGAATGAAACTTCGGTAATAGGGCGCGAAACCGACAAAACTGTGCACCTCCCCCACCGACTGAGGAGTCGGCCAATCGCGCACACACGCCGTCTTGTCGGGATCCGTTGCTATTCCGGAATCGCCCACGATGTGACCCAGATATCGCACAGAGGTTTGCAACAGGTGACATTTCGCAGGTTTCAACTTAAGGTATGCCGACCGTGTCCTCAACAACACGGAATGCAACCATTGCAAATGTTCCTCGAAAGTGCGGCCAAACACAATCATATCGTCAAGGTAAATGAGAAGTGAGTCCCATTGCAACCCCGCTAGGACTAGTTCCATCAACCTCTGGAAGGTGGCTGGGGCTGAGTGTAAGCCCATGGGAAGGCAGTTGAAATGGTACAATCCTTGAGGTGCTCTAAATGCCGTTTTTGGTTTGGATGACTCATCCAGGGGAAGTTGTCAAAATCCCGACAAAAGGTCTAAGGTGAAAAACAATCTGGCCCCCGATAGCGCATCCAACGAGTCGTCCATACGGGGGAGTGGGTACGCATCTGCGACTGACACTTTATTCAACTTGCGGAAGTCTACGCAGAACCCGCACCATGCCATCAGCCTTTTTTACCAACACTACGGGAGCACCCCAAGGACTCGGCGAGGGGGAAATAATATCTGCCGCCAGCATTTCCTCCACCGCCAGTTGCACGCTTTCCTTTTCCCCCGGGCTTAACCTATACAGATTCTGTCGAATGGGGGCAGCCGTTCCCGTGTTAATATGGTGTTGCAGAAGGGAAGTGCGCCCAATATCAAACTTACCCTTACTGAACACCTCCGAATATTCACGTAGGAGGGATCACAACACGGCCCGCTGCTCCATGGACAACTTCGGGTTTTCCCCACACAGCTTTTCTATCCATGCTTCATCCTCTCCCCCTGTCTGCACCACTCCGCCTCCCACGGCATCCCCGGTGGCCTTGAGGGAATCTCTCCCCATCAACATTGCATGGGCTAACACCGTTCCCGCCTGAACCACCACCGGCTCTACCCGAACATTGCGGACTTGTAAGAACGGCTCCTGACCAACTCGCAACAGCGTCAACGCACCCACCAATGTAAGCCCCCGGGATACCGCCTTAGACAGGGTAAGGAGGACACCTGCCTCCAGGTCAGACAGGTCCAACCGTCTACGGTAACGCAGCGGGACCAAAACTTGAGTACCGGGCAGAATCTCCAAAGTTTCCTTAACCAGAACCTGGACCGACAACCCCTGTATTTCGCGTCGATGCGGGGAATAAAAAAAAAACAACCGCCGCCCTGACGGCATCTGAACACAACTTGTTCGGTGAAAATCAGTAGGGGCATCCTACTAAAAAAATCCGTTCCCAAAAGGCAGGGAACTGCTAATGTTCTCGAAATTAATACTGGCCCTGGTATCTCAATCTCCCCCAATGAAATGTGAGTATCTATTTGACCTACAATACCCATACTTCCCCTGTACGCCGCCACGCACACGTCAACCACCGGCACCACACGATGATTCGCAAAAGGCAACGTTTCAAAAACAACCTCCGATATGATAGCAGCCGATGCGCCCATGTCAACCAGAACCCAAACGTCCACCCCTTGTACGCGCCCGACGATAACCGACGTGCCTGCCGCCCCTGATACCACTCTGTGTGCCAGCTGTCGCCATTGCGTGCGCGAGTTTGGCCACCCCTGCATTGACCGTGCCAATCGATCGTTGCCCCCAACTAGAGAGCCCCCTTGTCCCGAAGCGTAAAATCTGGGCGATTCCTAGCTGAAACCTGATTCTCACCACCATCTGGCACAGAAGAATTCCCTGATCAAAACACTAAACCATAGGGCCCCACTGCATTTCTGACCAACACCACCTAGCCAGTGAACTGGAACACGTACACTAGGCCCTGAAGATGAATGGATATTCGGACCGCATTATCCGCAAAGCTGTTTCTCCAACCATGGAGAAACAACCCCCTGAGACGCCGATCAAAACCATCACGTTACCATACATAGCAGGCGTTACCAAAAATATTTCCAAAATCTTAAACAAACACAAGATCCAGGTCCGATTCAGGACAGTACACAAAATCCGTGATCTAATCCCATCTGTGAAGGATGCGATTCCTGACATGCAATATCCTGGAGTCTACAAACTTGTTGTACCTGTGGTTATGGGGAAACGAAACGTCATCGCTCGGACCATGTTAGCGAGCACAAGGCAGATCTGAAACACGGCAGAACTAATACCTCCGCCGTGGCTGACCATTGCTATAACGCTGTGGGCTCTCATGATATTGTTTTTTACTGAGACCAAGGTGCTCTGCAAACCTTCGGGCAACTATCAAAGGTTTGTTCATGAAGCCATCCAGATATATAAACATAGAAATAACTTCAACTGGGAAGATGGATACAGATTGAGCAATTTGAAGGATGTTATTAACAGAGGTGTAAAGTACTTGAGTAATTTTACTTGATTACTGTACTTAAGTATTATTTTTGGGGATTTTTACTTTACTTGAGTACGAATAAAAATCAATACTTTTACTTTATTACATATTTTTAGAATTAAAAAAAGTACTTTTTACTCCTTACAATTTTATTTACAGTCAAAAAGTACTTATTTTTTGGAGATCACTTCATCTATTTTCCCTTGCTATTACCAAACCAATTGAATTGCGCTGATGCCCAGTTTAATTTAAATGTTATGTATTCTGCCTATGAAAATCGTTTTCACATTACATGAAATTGGTCAGACATGTTCATTGGTCATTTGGAAGTGACGTCATGTCACATCTATAACCACAATGCACAGCACCTTGACCTCGAAATTAGAGAAATTATAACAGTCAATCAGTGGAAGAAAATGGAGGAAGAACGTGATTCAGCTGCGAGCAC